ATTGTGTTCCTTTGGACAGCACTGCTATGTATGTATGCAGTGTTATATGTAAGCATATATGTGTATGTGTAGCTTTACACTGAATTAGCTAAAGTCAGTGGACTCCATCACCTGCAGCCTGAAGACTTACTGTGAGTGAAATCTGAAGCCTCAGTAACACATATGGATTGACAAGTAACAGGCTGTCTCTTGCCTTAAGTGATGTCGTGCATGTTTAGCACTGAGTGAGTAATTTACACATGCAGCACTGATTGTGCAGCCATTTTCTGCAGTTGTCCCTCGCAGATGATAAAGATTTCATTTCACGAGCAGCCAAGTTTTCCACACATTGATTTCCTTGTTCACACTCCAGCAGCTTGTTAAAGCTAAGTCAGAGCTAAGAAGCTGTTGAACCTGCGGGCAGTTTCCTCATACACTCTTTGCAGAATGGGATGGAGTAGAAAAGACCACTTCGCCGTGTGTGTGTGTGTGTGTGTGTGAACGGGAGAAACAGAGAGAGAAAGTCGAGTTTAACAACAAACCACCCACTTGCTGCTAATAGACAATGCTGTTTGGAAGAATAAATCTCATAGAAAAATTGCAGTGTGCCTGAATCACTGCACACAAAATTGTAATTATTGTGATGGTTCATAAACAAGTCACTTGATAAGTAGCTTGTATGAAGCATGAAATAAAATGACAGGAAAGTTTTGTAATGTTCAATGTTCAGATATATAATGTGTAAAAAAGACGACAGCAATGTCAACTGTCACCTAGGACTCTGACATATATGAAGTCAAACAATCCAGAAAAGCCATACAATCACTGTCTGTCCGTCAGTCCTTCAAAGCTCCCTGGTGGGAATCTCAACACGGGATCTGAAGTGAAGAAGATGACGTCGGTCTCTTCTGAAACGTTTCTACCTGAGTGTTATGTTACAGTATAATGTGATCATGGTGTGCAGTGGGTGTCGATCCTCCAGTCAAGCTAGCTGTTAGCGTCGCTCACTACCTCTGTAGCCGTTCTGGCCCTTAATCACAGTGATTACTTAACCACAGAGGCTCTTAAGTGCTGCTTATCAGAACTCCTCTGGAGAGCAACAACACCATCACGGCTCTCTCTTTCACATCCACCCTCCTCTTAAGCCCTTTTTTATCCTCCAGTCCTCTCGCCTCCATCCATCGCCCTTCTCCCGTCTGTATCCTGTCTCCTACTGCCCTCCTTTCCTCTCATCCTCTACTTCCCCCTCCCCCTTTCCCCTGCCCTATTTTATTCTCAGCTCTGCCCTGCATTCCCATCCCTAGAGCCAGGTGGCTAAAAAAATAGACCTACTATTAATAACAATAAGAAAACAGATGAGTTGTCTCTTAAATGTGTAGTTTGGTCCATACACAGTTGAGCACTATACGTTGTTCAGTGTCCTGTGCTCCCAAACTTCACCCAAGGGTGTGTGTGTGTGTGTGTGTGAAAATGAGTTTTTGTTACCTCTTTGGGAACTTTTCCAGTATAAACACTGAACTGACCTTGTCAGGACCCGTACTCCTGACAAGGACCAAAGCCTGGTCCTAATGAGGCAAAAACTCATTCCTGAGGTCCTGGTTAAGGTTTGGGTTATTGTTTCCTCAATGAATGGAAGTCAATGCAGTGTCCTAACCAGGATAGCTGGCACAAACACACAGGATGAGCCCCCAGGAATAAAGGTAAGTCAATAATGTTCTCACAAGTGAGTTTGTTTTGATGATATTGTTGAAGAAAATTCACTTCAAAGTTTGCTGTAGTGGAGTGAGTTTATTGGTATTCCAGCCTACTGACACAGAGTGGATCTGATCTGATCGGCAGGGGGACAGTTATACGGTTGAGCAAAGGGCCGATGGTCAACTGTACGTAAATTAGGATTGCACAATTAATCAAAATATGGCAACATGGCCAAGTGCAATATCAAAACCGCAGGAGCTGTAATCTATTTGATAAAGGTATCGGTGTCGCAACATTATTGTGCATTGTTAGCACCATAAGCATTGTGGTGCTACAGAGCCACCCTGGACTACAAATCATATTCTCCAGAGATAAAGGAACATGTTTGTTTGGTACAAGACCCAACAAAAATCACATCACCATCACTTTAATATTTTTTTCAGTGAAAATGAAATGCAAGAACAATCATTCCAACTGAAATCGCATATCGCGATATCTGCCAAAATAATCGCAATATGATTTTTTTTTGCATATCGTATGTAAATACAGTTGATCAACGGTTACAGGCATTGTGATCGGACAGAATTACAATGGATTAAAAGAAAGTAAGAACAAAGGTATTTCTGTTCATAGACCTTACAGTGTAAAACAGAGGGTCAGCTTACCAGGGGGGCAGGACGGGCTCCCAGGCTTAATCAGTGAGCAAGGTAAGACAGTGATGAAATGAACAAGATAAAGGAAGGGGACACTTCATGTGGGCAGACAGATGTCAAAGTCCCCATGACTCAAAATGTGTATTTTCTTCCTCAATATCTGTCTGAGTGTGTGTGTGTGTGTGTGTGTGTGTGTGTGTGTGTGTGTGTGTGTGTGTGTGTGTGTGTGTGTGATTGGTTGGGCAGTGGTAAAAGGAACCGGCAGGTAAGGAAAGCTGGGGCTATTAGCTAACCACAGTGCTCCTTCTAAATTGAAGGTCGGAGCAAAAACTGCACAGATTATCTTTCCTATGAGGTCAGAAATAGTTCAGTGCAAGGGACGGAGGAGGTGGAGAGAGGGGGTGAGGAAGAGGGGGAAGAACAGAAAAAAGAAAGGATAAAGGAAGAGGACAAACTGACTTCTTCATAGTGGGTTGAAAGACAGGGAGAGCAAGGAGAAAGGAGGGGAAGAGAAAACACAGTGCAGACAGAGACGAGAAGAAAAAGGAGATTCTACTGATTTTAATATTACAACTGTTGGAGCTGAAGGCAGGAATTCTGGAGGAGGAACAGAGGATTCATTGTGCCGACGGTTTACTAAAAAGACCATTAAGGTTGAAGCATTTCCCTGCAGCTCAATGAAGCACGATGCTTTCCCCGAGATCTCCGTCTCTCTGTCTCTCTCCCTGCCTGAGGTGACTCATATGCTCGATCATTTCACAATAATGGAGCACATACAATGTTAAGTGTCGAAACAAAAGCTCTTTTTTTACACTTGTAAGAATAGAAACTCACTTCTGTTCTTAAGCCTTGTAGACGGAGGAAACTTTCAGCTGCTGTTCGCACGAAAATCAACTTCCATATTGTGAGATTATCCATCACAGTGAACATGAATCTATCATTTGAATTGGGTCAAATTCACTTTAGCCTCCTTTACGTTGTATGGTTTTGTTTCCATGCCGTTTCCCTCTGTTCCCCTCTGACGTCTGCATTAGAGTAAGAAACGGAAGACTTTTACCAGGAAACAATACGTCAAAAACATGACACTTTATAAACTTCGCTTTCATGTCATTTTTCAATTCGGAGTGCTGGTGCCAACACAAAGAGCACTCAATTTCAGGCTGTGATGCAAAGTGATTTAAGGTGGAACTACTACTGGTCAGCGTGCAGACTTACAGCCTCCTTACTGTTAACACCTTATGTGTGTTAAAACACATGAACGCAGCACCGTGAAGCAGCAAAATTAGGAGCCTTTATCTGACTGTTCCACCAGCAAGTGATCACAGCACAACTGCTGTAGCACAACAAAACAAAACAAATCTAATCAACCAATCTCAGCCAAAGACAGTCTGTTCTCCAGCTGTGACACATTCGGAAATTGAACCGTCCACGTACTTTACTGGAGGAGAATAGATCTACAACCGTAAACTGCAATATAGAATAAACAAATGGTATCATTTCAACTGGGTATAGGTGGTATATGTGCTACAACGCTACAACAAGCAGTTTCCTTTAAAGTTCCTAGGCTGATGGAGAACTCCTCCAGCCTGGTTTGACACATAATGAACGAAAGCACCAAACATACTGTCCAGAAGAACTGTGTTATGTCCCCTGCGCACTGACAATACACAGTGGCACAAGAAGCTGATTTAGTTGTTCACCCTCATGATTTATTAATTGTCTGCAGGCAGACACACAAGTGGCCGCTGTACTGTAACTTCTGCGCTGCCAGCTGAGCTCACTCTCCGTCCACTAATGCAATTTGACTTGGTTTTGAAACAAGTTAATGGGAGCAAAAACCAGCCTGCTGGGCGAGGAGTGGAAGTGATGTCAGATGTAGAGCACAAGCTGAGTTCAAAATGAGGGGAAAGAGCAGAGGAGACGTTTATGTACAGCGTGTTCTGACTTCATTTTTATTTTCTTTGACGTCTTAAAACTCCTCTGACAGTTTATTATGTACAGTAAGAGCATTATGATCTCTTAACTGTGGAGTGTTTAATCCAGATCATAAACACTGAGGCAATGTGTGACTGAATGTTATGGGATGTGAATAAACTGACATACTGACCCAAAGATCCAACTGCCAGGAATAAAGCTAACAATGATACATAGATAGATAGATAGATAGATAGATAGATAGATAGATAGATAGATAGATAGATAGATAGATAGATGTTGGCTTTCATTGAATTTCAGAATCATCCTGACTCTGAAGTCAAGTAGCAGAAGTGAAGTGACAATGTGCAAAAAAATTTTGCACATTTTTGAGGGAACTAAATATGCAACAGCAGTCTTACATCTTACATGTGACTGCTTATAACACAGGGCGTTTATCCTTTGCTTAAAAAAAAACTGGAGCATAAATGAAGAGTACCCACTCCTCATGTATAGGTAATGTTCCCAGCGGTCCACGCACTTAACGCATATGTTGTAATTAGTCTAAAAATAAATTAATAAAAATAATAAAAGTTATGTCTACGTAACCACTGAGCTTATTCATCCATACCACGCACACAGATGAATAATAGCTGTGTGTGGCAGGTGACAGTTTTACTCACACTTCCCTCTCTGAGAGGGGGAAGGAGTGAGACACTGTGAAGACTCAGCTCAGTGAAACCACAGCGCTGTACTCACGTTCAGGGTTCCCGGACTCTCCTGCTGTCAGCGTCCAAAACAGCTCCCATCCATCCAGAGAGAGAGAGAGAGAGAAAAAAAGTCATTTAATTTCATTCAACCTCCGCGATAAGACGGTCAGTGATATCAGTGATGGTTAAAGAGCCTCCAGAGCGCGAGACAATGTGAGCAGAGCGACTGCAGCCGGCAGACTGAGAGAGAGAGAGAGAGAGAGAAAGAAAGAGAGAGAGAGAGAGAGAGAGAGAGGCGGCACTCAACCGGAGTTGATGACTGTTACGCCCTCGCTCTCTCTCTGTCCAAGTGTGTGTGTGTGTGTGTGTGTGTGTGTGTGTGTGTGTGTGTGTGTGTGTGTGTGTGTGTGTGTGTGTATGTTTTCACGTATATGTGAATATTGATGAATTATGCACTGACTAAGAAAAATAGAATAATATACACTCAGTTGACAGTTTATTAGGAACACTTAAAGGAGCTATTTGTAAGTTTAGCTATGGCTACATAGTCAATGTTAGCATCAACAGCTTTTTATTCAGTCTAGAAGAAACATTGAGTTCAGCATCAAACTTCACTCCTTTACTCACCAATAGCTCTCAACAGAGGTGGAAAACAACGGCAATGTTTACTCTTGTCTCTTTCATGTGTTGTCTTCTATTGAAGTTAGCATGCTAACCAGCTAGCCCGGCCCGTCTCATCACTTTCTGATAGCGACTCACTGCAGCCTCCAATCTCCCCTGAAGATGTAGTGCTGCTCAGAGGAACCTCTTGTCTTGTAAACGCAACGATGGTCGAAGCTCTTGTCAATCACCACCACCCAGCCCCGTCAAAAAAAATGCGTTCAACAGCAGAGAAAACTTAAAATTAGCTCCTTTAACTAAAACTAATGTAGTCAATATAAACGGCTAGTCTCACAGCCTCATTTACACCAGTGAGAACACAGTAAATGTATGCAACACCTCTCTGTATAACGCAACTCACTACATCACCCAAAGTGATCACACATACAGCTGAACCAGCACCTCTCTGCAACAGCTTCAACAGCAGCTGAACATTAGAACCCTCATGAAGGAGGATTTATTGTAGGACTTTTCTATTAGACTGCATTAGCTGTATGGTAAACTGGCAGCTGAGCATATATTTTATCGTATCATACATATTGTGGGCGACAAGCACTCAACTATTTTTGTCTATAGTGTTAAGCTCCAGATAATCAATTTGACAAAAGGCTAAAGATGAGAACACAATTCACAGTGGTCGTGGACACACTCTTTTTCTGATATCAACATCAGTGTCAGCACACACAAAAAATCTACAGTAGCTGATGTACCTGGCATATGTGTGTATTGACATTCTGATAATTATTTAGAATAACAGGGCGATGGTAAATGTGAGAGACAAAGAGGAGTGATAAAATAGAGCAGAATATCAGCACTGACTGTTCCAGCAGTCAGTGTTATCCAGACAGCACATGAAGCTCTCTGGCGACAGACCTCTTCCTGGCTCGTCTGGGAATCTGGAGGTGGAAGACGACGGTGTCGTTTCTGTGGAGAATCAGAAACTGATGTCCGTGTGTGTGTCTCTGAATGGACTCCATGTGTTTTGTGTTTGATGTTTGCCCTGTGCGAAAGCTGGAGGAGGCTGGCTGTGCTTCACTCTTTCTGCTGAGTTGTCCATCTGTGAAATGATTGATTTTTTTGTCTTGAGTTATCATTGAATTTTCTGTTTGATTGATCCTATAACAAATTGATTACTGTCTGTTGCCTCAGCGCTGTGTTTTCCTCTCAGGGACTGTTGTGTTAGCAGCACAGTGTAATAAGCAATGTATTGTGGGAGAAAACTGTCAACATCTTACTGTTGACTGTTGCCAGTATTGCAATTATTGCTCACTGACTTAGGGGTTGGGGTCGGACAGGGTGAGCCTCCAGGAATTAATTTAAGTCAATACAGTGTTCTCACAAGTGGGTTTGTGTTGTCATGATATCTGTTTGAGAGAGAGAGAGAGAGCGTGTGTGTGTAACGTCTAAACAACAGTTAAGTAAAAGCCAAGCTTGCTGGTGTAAAACGTCTCCCAGCAGTGGACTCATTATGTCCCATTAAGACACTTTAAAATACCATCCAGCTCATTTACTCTGTGTTTTTATGGAATCGAGCAGGGCAGAGCCTCTGAGTGATGTAGACACACTGCAGAGAAAATGGCCTTTATTTCATTTCCGTTTATTTATTTGGCTCAACCCACTGCTTTTCCTCCGCTTGATCTGTCCCCGTAAATGGTTAAAGATGCTCCCGATCCTTTATATGATCTCGTGTTATGAATGAATGAGGGGGATTTTTTTAGTACACCAAGGCAGTTACTCAGTAAACACCACAGACGTCACAGCAGCAGCAGAGGACAAGTGTAGTGAGACAAGAAAAGAGGGAAAATAGAATAAAAGGAAAAGTGGTCACTGTAAAGTCACAAAGTACAAGAGGCACAAAATATGTCATAGGGCAGTTTTATAATGTTGAAGACTGTTTTTTTCAGAGGTCTGTTCCTCACCTGTCTACACCTGTCACACCTGTTCACTTCTCAAGTCATCTGACCTCATCCTCCTGCACAGCTGTTCTTAGCCTCCGACTACACTGAAAGAAGGACTGGTCCCCCCTCCTTATCATTAATGATGCCACACAGCCACGGTGTTCCTGCTGGTTCTGCCCCATCCCAGTTTGGTCCAGTATGAAACTACGTCACCCATTCCCAGCAAACTGCCTCAGAGAACCACTTTCCTACGTCAACATCATTGAACTGTGATAGATCATATGAAATATAACCTCTCAAGTGGACTGAAAAACATTTCGGGAAGTTGCTAATCCTGCAGATGTTTTGACGACATTCGACTGCACACAAGATGAATGATGATGCGAGTCAATAGGGGATTAAATCATCTAGTCTAAAAGCATCTTCCATCTTTTTTAAAAAACATTTTTTCATGCGAATGACATTGAAAGGTTTAAAAACGTTGTCTTCTCGTTATCCCTTCTTCAGTTTCTCAGCTAAACTTTGGCGCTAAGCCAACGCTGATTCCACTTGCAGCTGCAATTTTGAAATCTGTAAAAGAAAAGCCAAACAACAGGGTGAATAAGAGAGTCAGGTTAGCAGCAGGACGCTAATAGCTTTAGCTGCCATTTAGCTGTCATTTAGTTTTCGTTTGTCAGAAACTTAATTGTCTACAATTTGAGAGCTTCCTTAAAACCGTCAACATTTTCCTTGACAAATATTTGAAGAGAAAATGTGGGAACTTGTTGACAGTTTAACCATTTCTTCTACAGCTTCAGCCATGTGCTCGTGTTGAATATTTTGGTCTCCAGTCTATCTCATGTGTTTCACTGTCTCCGTGCATTGTATGTGAGATCGTATCAAATATTGTGCTCACTTCACTATCACACACCCGCACCCTGTTGCAACTCTGTTGAGACAGGTGGAGTCTGCCAAACACTGAGTGGATCCAGACCAAACCTGAAGCACCAATAGAATCAGCACCACGCAGAGATGAAAGACACAGCTTCATCTTCATCGCTCGGCCTCACACCGCATTTTTAGGGCTTTTTCAGGACAACCACGTTGGAGTCTCTGTGAGGTGGGCGAGCCTGGAACAATACCCAGAAATGCGGCTTCCACATCTGCACCACCTGGACAAGGGTGGTTCCAGACCCAGCACACTAACACTGCCGGTTAGTTGTGCATTTCATTCTCCCATTTCAACCTATTTTATACACAGTATGCACCATACAGTCGGTCAGCTGCTCTGTCCTTGGTTGCCATGACATTCATGGTCCCCAGATGATGGATCCTAATGACTTTGTGATCCTGGAGTGAAAACAACGGGTCAGTGTTTTCATTTCATGCAGTGACACGTCTCTCTCTCACAGCTGTGTGCGTAGCTCTCTGTGACACTGTGTGAAGCCGTGCGGCTGCAAACTGCAGGAATTTACTTTGTTGTTTAGTTTGTTTAGGTTCACACTGCTCAAGTTCAAGGAGGTCTGACCTTCTGGAAGTCTTTAGAGACAGGCCGCTGCCTTCACTAACATATTACATCATGTTGACAAACGTGTTTTCCATCTGAATGATTTAAGGTACCTTAAGCTTATGATGTGGAACAGGAAAGTTCAGAACTTTTTTCTGGGTGTTTGCGAGCGATTCCTGCCAACAGTCGCGAAAACATAAACATTCAGTGCCCTAATTTTAAACGTTGCAAATGTGATCTGCACCTGCCTCCATTGCTACAGCTGAAGCTCACATAGCAGTTAACACTGGTGGACAAGTGCTCTGTTGCTCTAATGTGCTTTTGTAACAGCGGCCAATGGAAACCTGCTGCACATAAAACGATTCTCATGCCGGTTTCTTTCCCCTCTGCAGGACGACCGGCAGACAAACCGCTGTTATTCAGCAACGCCCCGTACATCAACACGTTGCTCAACAGGCCGTCGACAGCAGCTCAGACACCCTGGGGGAACGGAGAATAGACTGTTAGACACTATCTACATTCTTGACCTTCTCCCTGTGCTCCTCCTTTCCTCCACTCCCTTTTTCTGACTTTTTACCCCGCCCTCTCCTCAGATGTCTCCATCTGTCTATCTGTTTTCTTTCTCTCTGTGCTCTTCCTCTCTGCGGCCCCTTTCACAAAGAAAAACATATTGTTCATGCTAATTATCTGTAAACTTATCATGCAAAGCGCAGCCACATATTACATGAGGGTCAGGTTCATGAGGTGAGGCTGAATGTTGCCTTTACGCTGTAAGCCACATGATGCAACTTTTACTTTCACAAAATTGTGGCTGAGAATCTGTGTTGCTTTTGGGAGAAAAAAAAATCACAGTTAGCCAATGTCCACATTTTCTTTTTCCAAAAAATGCAATGAATATGTTACCGAGTGGAATCAACATTTGCATCTACATCCAAGCAAAGCATGACAAAGCATGTAGTTACTGATTCAACTACAACAGAAGCCGGGTTCGGATTACGGGGGGGGGGGGGGGGGGGGTTGTAAATATTACAATATATTGCCTATATTCATGCCTGGAAGAATCTTGTACAACTTCAGACACCCCAAGTGTCTGTACAAGCGGACTGTACCATTTCTTAACCTCGATGTTAGCTGAGCATCTCCTCTGCCC